CTACCTAGCAATGGAAGTGTTGTTCCAGTTGGTCTCCACTTTCATTTTTTTTTTCCATTTCTTGATCTCCATTTTAAGAGAACAAGTAGAAACTCTACATAATGGTTCTGGTCCTATGAATTGCTGAGATGATCCTAGCCTGGCTAACGTATCGGCTTTTTCATTCCCTTCAATTCCACAGTGGCCAGGAACCCAATATAAGTTTACTTGGTTTTGACAGGCCAATTTCTGAAGTGACATTGCACATTCCCATACGAGTTTGGAATTGCATGTTGCTGATTTTAAAGCATCTAATGCTGCTTGACTATCAGACATAATGCAGATTTTCGAATGTTTATCATTCCTGCGCAAGCATATTACAGAGCATTCAAGAATTGCTTGAATTTCTGCTTGGAACACGGTTGGCCAGTTACCCCTGCTCCCACACGGTTGTTCAATCTTGAACCGTCTGTATAAAAAACAGTTGAACCTGGACGGATGTTTGGTCCCCCACTTTCCCAAACATTACGATCAAATTCTGCTGCATTGTATAAACGATCGAAATTATATTTTTTCTCCATCCAGTCTTCATTTTTTAATACAAGAGAATTATTATCAAACATTTTTAAAATGCTAAGGTGTCCTGTAAGATCACCTTCAAGGAAGTACTTTGTTCGTTGAATCCTTAAAGCGCTCCTTTCAGCTTCTAATTGGATAAATTTATGCAACGGAATCAGATAAAGTAGAGCATCTAGTTAAATACTCGGTGTGCTGTTCATTGCACCGGTTATTGAGAGAGTAGCTAGTCTTTGGCCCAGGGCTGGTAGCAGGAAGTGACTTGGTCACTATTTTGAAGCCAGTCACTAAAAAGTCACTTTTTACACAAAAAAGTCACTAAAGTCACTATTTCCCTAAAAATAGTCACTAAAGTCACTTTTTCACTACTAAAGTAGAGTGAAATTTAAAAATATTAACAAAATGTTTAAATTGAGTACTTGCCACTGAGACAGTCTACAGTAGTTTTAACAAAATATACATATCTGTTAAAAATATAAAATTTTAAACAGGGTGACCAGTGAACCGCAAAACTTTAGAACTCCAGGAAAACTATTGGGAAATGCCTTCAATTTCGATTAAAAATCGGAAAAAATATACCTCTTTTCCCAGAAAATAAATTGTAAACCTTGAAAACATTCCAAAGCTATTTGTCTGTGATAGATTTTCAATAGTGTTTCAAGGATGATTAAGAACTTTAAAAAATCCAAAGTAAATTTTAAGAGAATTTTAAAGGATTCTAGGGATGACACCAAGATATATCAGAGTAGAATACCAAAGTACAGACTACGAAAGTTTCAAGTAAAATTGAGGACCGATGTCTCCATCTTCGCTTAAACAAGCCAGGTTTACCTATATGTATAGTTAAATTTGGCTTACCACATACGAGCGTCGCTTTTGATTATTGTTTAAATTATTAGGGACCCAAAATTCAACTCCGAAACAATTTTGGAAATAATTCCAATATAATTGAGAGTGCATTTAACGATAGTAGGTCCAATTCTAATAAGAATTTAGTAGAAAAGGGGAGTGACTTTGATCTATTATTTTCATCGACTTTCTCTTTTGATAGTCACAGCTTTATAAACAGATTTTGCGCTATTTCTGCCACATAGTTTGATAAAGGAGGTTCTTATCTAGCATCCAGAATGGCACACGAATCAAGGAATGTGTTTTCAGCTGAATTATTAACGAAAGAGAAAGTCAATGAAGAGAATCGATCAAAGTCATTTACACCCCTTTCCTTCTAACCCCCTCAATTCAAAATTAATTCTGAAATTCCAAGAGAATTCTAAAGAGTTCGAAATATATTCCGAGAATTCCAATGGAATCTTATTTTTAAGGTTCAATCCCAAAGGAATTCTGAAAATAGTTTCAAAGTTATTCTGTGACGGATTTTTGTTTTGAGAATTCTGAAGAAATACTATGGGAATTCTAAGGAGAATACGAATTGAATTTCCAATTCAATGCAGGGAAGAAGTCCAAGATTATTATAAGCAGAAATTTATGAAATTTCTGAGGTTAATTGTATGGAAATTCTAAGGAGAATTCAAATAAATTTAAAATGGATTTATGGGAGTTCCTAGAAGAATCAATAAAAAATCGAAAATGATCTACTTTAACTAATCGTGTGTTATTACGTCATGCGTGAATTTAACGATACACATAGTTGGAGATGCTTAACGTCAAATATCAGACTTAAAGTGGAGATTTTATACGATAGATTGGGAGATTAAATTATAGAGTTGATAGTTCCGTTATAGTACAGCAGTGTGAAAATTGTATATACAAAGTAGAAAGCGAGCAAAGAACAATTTTGAGGAAGGTACGAATTGGGCAGTTGTTTACGTCAGATGGCGACTTGAGTGTGAAACAATCGATATAACTGTTTCCGCACATCGAAGGTACATGAGCATATCGGCGATCATCCCTTTTGTCAGTGGTGGCAGGGGGAAACACCCCTCACCATTCCTCATTAACGGATGAGCTTGGTAAAGGAGATGCTCTACTCGATTTGTACCTTCTTCAAAATTGTCGTTTGTTCGCTTTCTACTTTCTATATACAAATTTCACACTGCCGTACTATAACGGAACTATCAACTCTTTACTTTCATCTCCTCATCTATCGTATAAAATGTCCACTTTATTTCTGATATTTGATGTTCAGTATTTCCAACTACTGACATAATCTATTTCCAAGAATTTTGTTGGTTGTTCTGGAAACAATTTCAAGAATTCAGTATTATTTTTGTATAAGCTAATTTGCCTCTAAGTTTAAGAGAAGGGAAATTATTCTAAAAAAGTTCTTGAGATCATTCTGAAGAAATTCTGTGAAAAGTTCTTAGCAAATTATCAAAGTTATCTAACTACCTAGATGTATCAAAATTTTAAAGATTTCGAACGCAGAAACAAATACAAGATCATAAAAAAATGGGAATTACTATTTGCTAGTCATCATATATAACGTAAGCAAAAGTAAATTATTCAAACCACTTCAAATGCTCTTCACAGGAGATTGCGTTGTGAGATTCGATTAAATTAGAGGAATTTATGAAATTTGATTTTAAGTTCCATGACATACAAAGTTTATTTCAATATCAAACCCTATTTGAATTTCTAAGTTACCATGTAAATGGTTACTTATTTAGTATTTACTAGTCACTATTTGGTCACTATTTCCGTAATTTTAGTCACTAAAGTCACTACTATTATATCGCATCAGCACTACCAGCCCTGCTTTGCAGTCTCTGAGCCGATTTTTCATTAGTTTTCGGCCACCAAACTAATGATGCGTAGGATATTCTGGGTCTTACAATCGTCAAATAAATCCAGTGGACCATTTTTGGTTTGAGGCCCCATTTCCTACCAAATGTTTTTTTTACTTATCCAAAGAGCATTTATTGCCTTATTAACAACCTGCTCTATATGTGAATTCCAAGAATGACTCCCAGATACTTGACTGTTCGTGAAAGTTCTAAAGAGGTTTCTTTCAATTTTAAGTTATTTATAAGTTCCCCTTAGAAATCTCTGAGAATTTAAGTCGATATTCCCTTCTAACTCTCAACAGAAATTTCTTTTAAAAATTTATTGACATTTAAGTGATTTTCAGTGTAAAGTGTAGTAGTGAAAATATTCAAGCCAAACCATATCATCATTAAGTTTGTCGTAGAGTTCACTTGAATTCTTCTCTGGATTCCCTCAGAAATTTACCTGAAAATCCTTGCTTTAGAATTACCTGGTATCCTACTTATATTCTGCTTAGTTTTTTTTTTTTCAGAGCTACTTGGAGTTAATTTGTAGCTCTCCATACAATTTTAATGAAATACTTCTCAAAATAACGAGGAATTGGAATTTGGATTTCTCCTTAAAACTCATTTGGTATTCTCATCAAAATTGTCTAGATGATTCTTCAAAGTGTCACAATTCTCAAATTTTAAAATCCAAGAGTAATGTTGTTTTTTTTTTAACCTGAGACCTTGATAAATACGCCATGTTTGTATTTCTAAAAAGTTAAAGAATGTAAAGACTGGCTTAAGATTAAAATCTTGAACATTTTCTCATGTAATCTTCAAACAATGTCTTAGTCCAAGATCTTTAATTGACATCTAAGTTTAATCTATCACTTTATGATATTCAGTCCAATGACCCACTGGGTTCACTAGCTTCTTCTTCTTCGCATTTCAAGCTTATTGCTAGTCGCATATTAGCTTATTGCGTGCTCTCAACTTAATGTTCTATAGATGCACTTCCACAGTTATTAATTGAGAGCTTTCGATTCTAGTATCATTTTTGCATTATTATAATTGTGTGGCAAGTACAATCATACTTCTATGCTCAGGAAAGTCGGGAGCTGTTCCAACCCGAAAAATTCCTAGACCGGATCGGGAATCGAACCCAGCCTCCTCCACATCTGGGTCCACTAGCATTAGGTCTAAAACTATGAAAATTTCATAATTCTGACTGACACTTCAAATAATTATCTGGGTTACATATCGCCTGCGGCACCCATTGAGTGTTTTCGGCAACCAAAATGTAAACGTTTTTTTATAATATCATTTATGTAAAAAAAAAAAAATATAAAACTCCAAAAGTATAAAATTCTCCTAAAGTATAAACATCTGATTTGACATTGTTCATTTTTAACATTTGCTCATGTTTTGAAGAAGGAAAATTATCGTACGCTGTAAGAATCAGATTTCACATTTTGTTTATTCAAAGCCATAAACTCACAAGTTTCGCACAGTTCAGAATACACAGGAATACTTTAAAGAACTGATTCGGCGAAATGTCGTACAACCGCCCTAGATGTAGTCAACAATTCCGTAGAAGATCTCTCCATTTTAGCAAAAATTGTAAATTTCCCGAAGAGATTATTAAAAATTAACAAGTTCCACTCTGCCATTCACCCGTACTTTACGAATTATTACCAGTTTCCGCATTCTAATGTCTCCCCTTTTCAACCGCAGACAACAGTTCGTACGAGCTGCCAAAACTCCTGATTCGTGAGGATTCCCCGGTGGAATCGTTTCACAGTTCCTATCCTCAGCTGGAAACCGTTGCGCTACGAGGTGAATCTCCGAAGAACTTCAACTCCATCGCCAAGCTGCAGGACACTGGTCCCTCCGGGCTGGCGGAGAATGCGAATGCATTGGCTCCGGGAGGTTTGACCAAAGCAAACAGCGAAAAAAGTAAGTTAGCTTCCGGTTCCTTGCTGCAGCTGTACGAACATCCTCCCCCACCGACGGCGGCAGCGACAACGGCCACTGCCATCGGGAGCGGCATAGGCGGTGGCATTCCGTCGAACGGTGGAACCTGGGCGCCCCATTACGGCGGTGTCGGTAGCCATCATCATCACCATTCGGATTTGGGGATCAACGAACTGGAGTTGAAGTTTATCAACAATGGACTGATGGATAAGGGTGCGAGTAGTAGTGGTGGTTCCGTTTTCAAGCTGCCGGCGGTGTCGAATTTGGAAATCAACCACTGGAATGCCCTGTCGAATGATTCGGTGAATGGTAAGGACAAGGAAGAGGAGCAGGTCTCCAATCCACGGACTTCCAACGGATTTATTCACAGCGATTTGTCGATTTCCTCCGATGAGGATGATCTGTTTAGTATATCCGACTTGATCTATAAAAATCAAGCCAACAAATCGAAATCTATCGATTTGAATGAATTCCGGAAGACGTTCGGCAGCAGTCCAACGCTGTTGAACAACTTCGGAGGGACCAACACCAATCTGGCGCCACAGTTGTCCCGGTTGGATGCGATTCCATCGCAGTACCGAAGGGGATATACCAATTTAAACGACGCGGGCCTTTCCAGTTCAACGTCCGAGCTGGAGTGTGTCAATGCGACCACCAAGAAAAAGACTGGAAGCGGCGATAACGGAGAGCTGTCACCGCTACTCAAACATAGAAACAATGATCATATTTCCTATGTAAGGAGTTACGAAAATTTGAACCGTTACAAGGCTTTCTCGACAAAGAACGGGGACGCAAGCGACATCCTCCAATGTCAACAGGGTCCAGGGCAACTGTTGCCCGGTATTAGCAATTTAGATACTATCGCAGACTCGGATCTGAACAGTAGTAGCGGGAGCGGATCCAATCTGATCGATGATAGTTTCACCGATTTCGAGTATAGGTTCTCTAGGTTAAGTTGTTCCGGCGGGAACGGTCATCACAGTGGAGGTTGTAGTAGTACCAATACCAGTAGCAATACTCAAAATAGTAACAGTAGTAGTAGTAGTAATCCACATACCAGTTGCCACAATGGTAGCAGTCATCGAATGCCATCTTTGAATGATTTAAACCATCGAAATCGACTGCTACATGGTCACCCTCCTCCGTTCAACAACACCTCGTCGCCATATAGCAATAACAACAACTCCAATCCCGCAGCAAACTACTACTTCCCGTCGGACGAAAGCCTCTTCAACATAGACTCATTTTTCGATGATTTCGTAGAAATCGACACTAGTGATATTTTCGACAGCGCTGAGTACATCAACATCGGAGGAGGAGGAGCACGGAGTTCGAATTCTTCTTCCTCAAAAATGTTACCGAAAGCGAACAATTCTAGCCTTCTACTACCCGATATCCTCCAGCAGGATGAACTTCTCCTTAAAACGCAAGCCGGTTTCTCCGAAGCGGATGATTTGCTACGTGGCGGCAGCGGAACCCGTTCGTCGTCCAACCAACCAATGGACAATGGGGATTCGACGACCCTCAAGGATCTGCCACCACTAGTCCGGGTTCCGCCGACGTCATCCGCGTTGGATCAGCAGCAATCATCCAGTTCCGGTTCCATCATTCAGCACCATCCCGCCGAGCCGCTCAAATCGAAGAAGCTCCGGTGCGCCCAGTGCAACCGCAAACTGGGTGTCATCATGATCATGAAGTGTCACTGTGAGAAGATTTTCTGTGCCCAGCATCGGTACGCCGAAGCGCACAACTGTTCGTACGATTTCAAGCTCGAGGGCAAGAAAATCCTCGAACGCGAAAATCCACTGATAGTGGCACAAAAGTTGCCCAAAATCTAAACAAAAAAAAAACACGTACATTGATGAGTTAGCTTTTGTTCGAAAACGGCAAGTAACGGTAATTAGCGATGCATGTTGGAAACGCTTAGCTCCGTTACATGTCGTATTCAATTTGTTATTGAGTTTTTCGTTAGAGAGAAAGTTTGAAGCTTTTGGTTGTAGTTTAATTTTTGCAAGTTCCCTAGGATCAGACTTGGGTCAAGTTCGAAATTCTTGACGTAGCAAAAGCAACACTATGCAAAAGTCTTGTTATAATTTATTTTAGGCATAAAACTGCATTCGATTAACTATGAGCGTAGCGGAAATATTACGTTCGATGCATTGTAGTACATTTATTTCCATTAGAAATACTTTACGCTGAATATGCTGTAATGTGTGGCAAATAAAACTAGGTATTAGTAAAATTATGGGATTGTCTTGTGTTTGATACTTTAATACTAGAGGGTCTGAATTTTACAGTAAAACCATACATTACATTGTTGCAAGCACAGTTCACTTTGCTAGGAATGATTTTGCCTTATATCACTAGTGCTATCAATCGTTTTTTTCTTGGTGAAATTCATCTGAATAATAAGTTCGTAGGAAAATAACTTCATAAAATCTAAAAAAAAAAAGACATGCATAGAGGGGGAGGGGGGAAGATTTAAAACATTAAAAGCATATTTAGCTAGATATCCTATCTATTTCGAATTCTATAGAAGATATATTCAATGTTTAAAACAATTTAAAAGTTCGAAAAATCAAATCGGAAAAACTAACCCGAGCAAAAAGAAATTAGATATCATATTGCTCATCGGTCCACGATACGAAATAAAGCAAACCAAAGCATGATTTTCAAAATCAAAACAAACTGAACGGATACAGAAAATGTGAACTAGTAGTATGACCACACACAGACACACACACACACACACACACTGAAAGCAAAGGCGAATCAAAGAACCTTTGTTGACATTGCAGAAACAAAAATCAGTCAGTAAAACAAAGAAGGAGAAGAAGATTATATTTTGTCTACATTACATGATTACATGCTAATAACTTATTTTTGTTCATTATTTTTACTGGTGGATTTTCGAGTAGTTTCCTATTACTGATAATAACCAATAGACGGTACGCTAGCATAACTATTGTAATGGAAGGCGCATAATGTAAACTGGAATATCGATAGTAATCCTATTACACAACAACTACCATTTAATCAACTATGTAACTGGTAAAAATGCAAAACAAACAAACAAAAAAAAACTACTAGTATCGCATAATGTACGCGTCAGTTCAGAGCTAAAACCTAGAAGTTTATTCTTGCAAGCGTAATTATTTATTACTTATGGAAAAAAAAAGTTGCAAAAAAAGGAAGCAAAAAAATAATAAACGAAAAAAATGCATAAAAAGCTCACAAGGTAAATCATTGAGTGTGATATCCGTTTTTTTTTTTCGATGACATCCCTGTATACAAAGAAGCTCTCTGTTCGATAAAATATCAGCGCTGGACAAAACACAAGCCTTACAAAATAGCCATGTTTGACATGTCGTAATTTTGAGCTATTCTGCGTACTCTCCGCGCAAATCAAATGGAGGGTCACCTCACTCGCGCCTGGGCCTCATTTTCTGACAGAACTACACTGAAGAAATACGACGTATGAGTTTCATAAAATATGCTTATGAAATGTCGACAACAGAAAAACTTTGATATTCATAAAAAGTAGAAGGGTCTGTGCCTAGGGGCACGAACGGAAGCTTGACGTAGGACCGCTTCTTTTAATTGATCAATTATCTATTATCTCAACTCTTTCCGTTTTTGATTTGTAGGCGTACCAAATTTGTAGAATTTTTTTTTCAAAGAGAAAGTTGATTAAGAGAATCAATCAAAATCACTTGCACCCCTGCTTGCAAGTTTGGTTACAAGATTACAACTCTGGAGAGCATTTTGTGTGGTCTTTGGGAGCTTGTGGTTCTGAATATGGACAAACAAGTACAGATAAATTCTATTCCAACTCTTTACTGATGTAAGCTTGATGGCCCTGAAAAGGGCCGATTAATTGAACAAGCCACTTACGTTTGGCGTGTTTAGTGTAGGTGACAGCATCACGGATCTCATTTTTCAGGAACACCCTCAGCACACCTCGTAAATCAGACCGGAGATACGTCAGACACCGCAACGGCGAGCCAGACGACGGATGGTGGTTATCTCGAAGAATTTGCGTTTGGTTCTGAATGATGAGGTGCAAAATATTACGCAATTCCATCCTCCCTATTCGCACGCGCAGGCGAATGCCACTTAGACTTGATTCGTCTACTTACTACTCTCTGACGACTGTGCTGGGGAAGCAGCATATGCATGTAGGTAATTAGTGGATTTGTTAGTTAATTCGACGCTTTTGGACAATGCTGGACATTTACCAGTTTTCAATAGTTTCTTGTTGAAAATCGGAAGCATTGTTATCGATGCGTAGCCATATTTCTGATCGATTGGTGATAAAATTATTGAAATTGGACCAGGGGCAGCTGAATTATTAACGTTCAAAATCTTTCTTAATTTGTTACATGTTCCATTTTTGGTTTTGACAAACTGCCCCCCATATAGAAATCAAAGACGTAGTCCTACGTCAAAAAATCTTGTGAAATGACGTCATTTTAATACTATGGTCTTTAATTTTCCATAAGATAACTATGATAATTATGATCGAATCTCCATTCTGTGGTATCCGAATTGGATGGTTTCGAAAAACTTCTCTAGTTCACTAAGTATAAATTATCACCTCTATTCCCGTTTTCGTACGAACCGGATTCGTTCGAAACGAAAGCAATTTCCCATTCCCGTTTTCGTTCGAAGCAGTTCTAACTTTCGAACATCGTTCGTTCGAACGATGTTGTGCTATTCCCATTTTCGTACGAATGCGTTTTTTTTGTCCGCTTTCCAAACGTCACTCCAAACTCGCGAATCGCGAGACAGCCAGGGGATAAAAACTTTGAAATTTTTTGTAATCTCTAATAAAAATGTTATGGTTAATTTGCTTAACGACTGAGGCTGGTTCGCCTCCAACGTGTTCGGGGTATCATCCAAACTGTGGAATAGTTCAATCATGTGGGTTATCGTTCGTGTATGGTATTTTTTTTTTATTAGCGATGGCCTTAGTGTACAAAAAAATCTACAACCAAATTTTTGGTATTTGATTGTGAAGTGAACGTGAAGTTAAAGATCTCATATGGAAATTGATTGAAAAATCATGCAATAAAAATATAATTTAGATTAAAAAAAGGATCGAAACAACTAGAAAATGTTGGACAAAGGCATTTCTGTAACAGCTTACATAACAAATATTTGTGTATTTAATTATGACTCCAAAACATTGTCATAGCCATATACAGTCAAGATTCCTATAGTGCGGATTCGTTCTTGCCGGATTCTTATAGTACTGATGCCACTGGATTCCTATAGTACGGTCGATCCGGCATTAACGAATACACGTAGCATATGGGATTAGAGCTAATTGGGACCAAACACTGATTGTACGGCAATTTGAAGAGATAACTTCCTGATGTCTCTTGAGAAGTAGTTAAGCAGAAAGTTGGCCACCTTTTGGGATGATTCGGTAGGACACAAGTCTGATCCTGTGGAAGATCCGGAATATCCGTAAAAGTGGCCAATTCATGAAACTGATCCTAGAGCTCCGCGGATATTTTTCGAAACCACTCATAAACGTCTTATCAGAATTAATTCGGAGTTGTGACTGGAATATGGACTCTGGGACCACGGGATTGTTCACTATAATATCCGGAACATCCGTAAAAGTGTTCAATTCATGAAACTGATCCTAGAGCTCCACGGATTTTTTGAAACCACTAATAGACGTCTTATCACAATAAATTCGAAGTTGTGTTCGGAAAATGTACTCTGGGGACCATGGAATGGTTCACCGGAAGATCCGGAACATCCTGAAAAGTGGTTAATTCATGAAACTGATCCTAGAGCTCCGTGTTTTTGTTTAAACCTTTCATAAACGTCTTACATTACATTTAATTCGGAGTTTTGACTAGAATTTGGACTCTGGGGACTACAGGATGGTCCACCGAAAGATCTGGAACATCCGCAAAAGCTGTCAATTCATGAGACTGATCCATGAGTTTGCGAAACCACTCATAAACGTTTTATCAGAATGAATTTGGAGTTGTGACCGGAATATGAACGCTTAGATGGAAAATGGACCTTTGGGACCACGAGATGGTACACCAGGAAGATCCTGAACATCCATAAAAGCCGTTTTTATGAAGACAAAAATATTAGCACCGAAACCATCACTTTTAGGTATATGGTGTCGTGGGGAAAGCTTATTCGTATTTTTAGCCGATTTGAAATTAGGGTGGTCCTTAAAATTGGTGAATTGAAAATTCAACCTTTTTTATTACTTGAGATAGACTAATGCAGTTTTTTTTAAAAGTTGTAGAACAATCAATTTGAACCAACTTTGCTCATGGCATAAATTTTTTATCTCTTATGGTTCATGACTTATGGTTATTTTAAACAAGTAGGTTGGAGTGGCCCCTGGAAAATCTTTCTTTAAATATTTTTATTGGTGATCAACGTATAAACAATATTTAAAGAAACCCGATTTTCTAGAGGCCACCCTAACCTCTCGTAAAAACATTATTCTAAATACTTTTAGAACTTTTTATGACGCATATTTTTGCAGAAGTCACTAATTTGAATCTCCCTTATTTAAAAGTTATGGCTAGTTTTTGATAAAAAAAAAAGATTTTTTTTTAAATTAAATTAAATACTTTAAACAAAAAACGCTCTCACAGTTTTTCCACAAATACTGGAAAAAAACACGATCTTTTAAATGAAATCGAAAGTTTGAAAATCGGTTTGCTCCATTTAGGGACATTGTCATTTTAATAGAACCATTTTTTCAAAGAAAATCTCCATTAATTTAAAAAAAAAAAAAAATGGCAGCCTGGTTGCTTCAGCAAAAATATGCGTCATCATAAGTTCTAAATGTAACCAAAACAAGTTTTTTACAAGAAATGATCTAATGAAAAGATATTCGAAGAAATCTGTTTTTTATGGGCCATTCTAACCTGCTTGTTTAAAAAATCATAACTCATGAACCTTAAGAGATAAAAATTTGGTGTCTTGAGCAAAATTGCTTCGAATTGATTGCTCTACAAGTTTTAGAAAATTGCATTGGTCTATCTCGAATAATTAAAAAAAAAGTATGTATTTTCAAATCTCCAATTTTGTAGACCACCCTAATTTCACTAACATAAAAAGATCGGCCAAACAATATGAAGAAACTTTCCCGAAGACACTATATACCTAAAGCTGACGGTTTGGGCGCAAACATTTTTGCCTTCCTAAATACGGCTTTGGGACCATTGTGCAGTGGATGGTCCTCCGAAAGATCCGAAACATCCGTAAAAAGGCTCAATCGATGGAACTGATCCAAGAACTCCGTTTTTTTCGTAAACTCTCATAGACGTCTTATAATTATGATTTCTGAGTTATGATTGGAAAACAGACCCTGGAGACCATGAACGCTCCTCTGGAAAATAATAGACAACTCATCAGAATGAACTCGGAGTTGTCACTGGAAAATGGACCCCAGGGTCCATTGGATGGTCCTTCGGAATATCCGGAACATCCATTAAAGTGGATAGGTCAAGAAAACTGATCTAAGCACTCTATGGTTTTTTAGAACTGCTCATAGACACATTTTTTTTATTTATTATCATGGATGATTTCTAGGTGGTATTTAAGTAATTAATAACTTCTAGACACTTTTAACGGAATTTTTGATGATCTTCCGGATCTTTTAATGGACCATCCCGTGGTCCCAAGTATAAACTGTCTGGTCAAAACTCCGATTTTATTGTGATAAGATGTCTATGAGTGCTTTCTAAAAAATCGTGGAGCTCAAGGATCAATTTCATGAATTGAGCACTTTTAGGGATGTTCTGGATCTTCCGGTGGACCATTCTGTGAACACAACTCCGAATACATTCCGACAAGACGTTTATGAGTGGTTCCGAAAAATCCGTAGAGCTCTAGGATCAGTTTAATGAATTGACCACTTTTACGGATGTTCCGGATCTTCCGGTGGACCATCAGTCCCTCCGAATACATTCTGATAAGACGTCTATAAGTGGTTTGAAAAATCCACGGAGCTCTAGGATCAGTTTCATGAATTGACCACTTTTCTGATGTTCCGGATCTGTGCATCTGGTACCACTAACACTGTTTATTTTCGAAAAAGCTTGCGTTCGAACGGGTTCCAGAACCAGAATGC